GAGAAGAAATCAACGTATTAATCTCTGGTGATGAATCTGCAAAAGATTGTGCAAAAATCCTAAAATCATTATTAAATGACAATTTCCAGGTATTTGGTATAACAAAAAAATTAGCTCCAATAAGTGAAATTGTAAGTAGTACGTTTAGTATGTCTATGCAATTCAGTTATAATGATTTCATAATAATTTCTTTGATAATTGATGATAATTTAAATTTAAGGTTTAAAGATATAAGAGATGTTTTATCTATTGGAAGGTACACTAATCTTATTTTGTGTTTAAACTATGATTCGCCACAAAATTATAAGGTTAAAAATATGTACAGGAGAATGAACATGTTTTGCAGTTCATTTGTTAAGAAAGGTAATGTATCAGTACGAATAATTGAAAACGTCAAATATGAGCAAGGTTATCGATTAAATAAAAACAAACTATGTAGCCTTTTCAGGCAATATATTTCCTATAGTAATTTGGTCAGGCCAAATAATATTGTTGTATTAACTACTACAAATAGAGATAAAGACATCTCAAACATTACAGCGTCTTCTAACAATCATAGTGATGCTTGCATACAAAAAACAAATATTCCACCTGTTATGGGGAGATCAACATGTATCTTGGAACCAACCAGTAACACTTTAATCTTATCTGATAACTGTTTCGTGTCGGATTGTGACAAGCATTTTTTAGATCAAATACAAAAAAAAGAACTGGTTTTCTAGTGTCGGAGAAAAATAACTATCATACAGATACGCATAAATCGCAAAATAATATCATTTTATTAAACACACAAAGTTTGCCATCAAAATTCGATGAAATAAGTGAATATATACAAAAAACACAAGTGCTTGCCGCGTGTCTGACCGAAACAAGACTGACTAGGGATTTTGGTGATTTTGAGTTTGATATACCAGGTTATAATATAATAAGAGAGGACAGTGATAATAGACATACGGGAGGGGTATTGATATTTATACAGGATCAAATCAGTGTTCTACAAATTAAAAAGTATAACTACCTAAGGAATTACTGGTTCCTAGAGATACATATATGTTTGTTCAATAAGGTTTATATTTTGGGAAATCTGTATCATTCTCCTAGTTCTAGTCATGCTGATTTTTTGATGTTTTTCGAACAGATATGCGATAAATTGCTTGATATTGGTCATCCAGTTATAATAGTAGGTGATTTTAATATTAATTGGTTAAATAACAACACTTATTCTACAAGATTAAAAAAAATTGCTCTTGATGTAGGATTGGAACAGTTGGTTAAAAAAGTTACTCATTCTACAGAGGTGGGTGGAAGTATTATAGATATGGTTTTCTCAAATAAGAAGGAGATTTTAAGTTGTACTGTAGAGGAAACTCCACGAATAAGTGATCATTTTATAGTTGTAATGAATTTAAATTTAAATAAAATTAAAAGGCAGAATAATGTAATAAATACAAGAGGTAAAATTGATTATTTTAGAATAAATAATTCTCTTAGTGTAATTGATTGGGATTATCGGGTAAATAATAGTATAGATATTAAATATACCATCTTTTATAGTCAACTTTTAAAGGTGCTAAATGAAATAGCACCAAGAGAACAAAAACTGATAAAATACTATTATAAAGAATGGTTTAATGAAAGGGTTAAAGAAGCAATTAGGGACCGAGATAATAGATACAGAAATTATAAAATAAGTAAAACGGAGGAAAACAAAAATATCTATAAACAGTGTAGAAATAGGGTTTTAATGGTGATAAGGGAAGAAAAGAAAATATTTTATCACAATAAAATTGATGATGTAAAGAATAATCCAAGAAAAATGTGGCAGACATTGAGTGAAGTAATTTCTGACAAAAAAGGGAATAAAATGAAAAAAATAGATATAGAAGGGGTAACTTATACTTCTTCAGAAGAAATGGCAGATGGGATAAATAAATATTTTGTTAATAGTGTGCTTCACATAGTTGATAGTATAGATAATACTTATTCAGAAATAAATTGTGTATTTGATAAACCTAAAGATACCCTTAGTTCGTTCAAGATGATAGATCATGAAAAACTTCACGAGGTTTTATTTAGCTTACCAAATAAGGGTAGCCCTGACGATATAACATTAGATTTCATAAAAAACACTTTTGAAAATATTAAAAATCCTTTATTACATATTATTAATAGCTCACTGGAGGTTGGCAGGGTTCCATCATTGTTGAAGGTGGCAACTGTTATTCCTATACAAAAAGTTAGAGGGTCTATTAAAGTTGAAGACTTTAGACCAGTAAATATGTTAGGAACTATCGAAAAATTACTGGAAAAAGTGGTCTATGGTCAACTAGTTAGTTTTATTACAGCAAATAATGTATTGATAGAAAATCAGTCTGGGTTTAGAAAATTGCATAGCTGTGAAACTGCAATTCAGCACATTCTTCATGAATGGAAAAATCTTCTGGATGAAAATTATGCAATTGGTGCTGTTTTTCTTGATTTGAAACGTGCTTTTGAAACAGTGAATAGGTCTATGTTAATAGCCAAATTGGAGAGATATGGTATAGCTGATAAAGCATTGGAGTGGCTTTGTAACTACTTGGACAAAAGATTGCAGGTAACCAAAATCAATGGACATACTTCGACCGAAATTTTAAATGACGTAGGCGTTCCGCAGGGTAGCACTTTGGGACCACTGCTATTTATCCTTTATATTAATGATATAAACAGATCAATAAAAAAATGTTCAGTCCATTTATTTGCAGATGACACACTGTTGTATTTCAAGTCTAAAGATATGAATGACCTAGTTGAGACCTTGAACATTGATTTGGAACACCTGCATGTATGGTTCAATATTAATTCTCTTAAATTGAACTTATCTAAAACAAAATTTATGTTAATAGGTGGTAGAGCAGATAAAGAATCAATTACACAAAATAATCTTCATGTTAAAATCAGTAGTCATATTATTGAGAGAGTAGAGACACATAAATATCTTGGATTTGTTGTTGACTCCTCACTTACATTTAGGGATCACATTTTGTATACAATCGAAAGAATTACCAAAGGTGTAAATTTTCTGTCTAGATTCACATCTTTTTTGTCACAATGGACCAAGCTTACTATCTATAATACTTTGATCTTACCACATTATATCTTTAGTTCCTCGATCCTGTACCTGTGTAACAAAAATGATCAGAACAGATTGCAAAAATTGCAAAATAGGGCAATGAGATTTATTTTACGTGAAAGGCGTGAAACGCCTATAAAGAATATGTTAGGAAAACTAAATTGGCTTTCTGTTGAAAAATTTCTTATTTACCAAAATATGTTGTTAATTTATAAAATGAAAAATGAGCTAACACCTTCATATTTGACTAAAAAATTAAGAAGTCATTCTTCTGTACATTCGTACCCTACTAGGAATCGTAACAATTTTTATGTTACAACAAAAAATAAAAAAGGAACTGAAAATGGTTTATACCATAAGGGTTTAATTTATTTTAATGCTTTGCCTCAACAAATAAAGGACGCCCCAAATATTAATTTATTTAAAAGAAAGTTAAAGATTCATCTTATGGGAGAATAATACAGTAATACTTGTTTCATCTTTGTTGTTTTTGTTGGATTTTGTATATCTTTGATTTCTGTGTTTTTCAAGACTTGCATGTTGTTTGTAAATCATTATATTTGTTGTTTACTATACACATTTTAAACTTAGGATTTCTATTTTTTTTTGTTTTTTATTATGTAATATGTAATGAACATGTAGGATAATGACGCAAGTGACATATTATATTTTATATTCTATTGTAGTTTTTTTAAATTGTTGCTATATATTTTTATTTTATATTTTATACTGTGTTTTGCATTATTGTAATTTGTATTTACTTGCATGATATTTTATTTTTTATTTTATTTTAGTAGGCGTATAATGTAGTATGTAATAATTAATTTGACTTGTATGTTCATTTATTTTTGTAATTAGCCAGGTGCTAAATAAAGGATTAATATATATATTATTATTGTGGCAATATTTGTAAAATTAGGCCGCTGCCCGTTGGAAGTGAAAATAAATAAATAAATAAATAAATAAATAAATAAATAAATAAATAAATTTGGATAACTTTTGCTAAAGATAAACTGATAAACAGTAGTATAAGTAATAACGTGCGATCAAAAGAATATAGCTAATAATGTGTAAAATTGTGTATTGTGAAACTATAATATTCTCAAGTGAACCAAATTCTGTTGTTACCAGAGGCGACGCGATAAGAATGAGACAGGTCTTAGGGGTCGTATTTTCGAATATTCTCGCATACAAAATCTGATACAATTTCGAATGCTCCCCATTTAATTTACATTGCTGTCAGTCAAATTTTGTGTACGAAGAGTACGCGAATGAATTCAAAAATACGACCCCAACCTGTTGATAACGCACAAAACCCACAGATCTGCCACCGAATATTCGGCGCTACAAACGAGAGTGTGGCCGAATATTCGATATTCGGCCAAATCACTATTCATGGCATCTCTAATTTCTACATCTACTAATTCTGATTCTACTTCAAACAAAATGCATTTCAACCTCACAGCTTGGGGCTTGGCTTGGATTGTACGTTTTTGAAACTTTTCATTGGTATAGATCGCCTAGCACAAAAGTAGGTAATGGTTAAATTGTAAAATGTAGGTATGTACCCTCTATCGAAAAGTCTCAACTAAGGGAGGATCTTGACTATTTTATAAGGTATTTATGTTAATTGATTATAAATATTTAGGTTGTAGCTAGCTCCATGGAAACTCAGGATACAAATAGGTAGATACAGTTTAGCAGCAAAATTGGAAATTGGGTACAAACCCCAGAGTATATAATTATGCTTGGTATTATAAAGTTCTAAACCAGATAATAAATTCATGATTTTGTTGTTGAGTGATCGGCATGGGACATGGAACCCTTGTGTGCCATTTTGCCAATATGAAATCAAATTTGACGCTGAATAATACACAAAAATTCTTACCTTGCGATCACAATAGGGTCATAGAACTTTTTGCAATAGTTTTCGTGCTCGTGAGCCGTATAATTGAATGATTTTCGATAATTGTAATAATTTAAAAACTCTGGGACTGCCTGCAAACAGCACACACAAGCACAAATGTTAATTGGTAAATGAAAATTTTTGACAATAATGACAATTTATTGACATGACAAATGACAATTGAGTCAAAAATTTGATAGGTTCATAGAGCTTTCGACTTTTGCCTTAAAACTGCATCTAATTGGTCAAAAAGTGATCCGCAACAGATTCACATGTTCGGCTTAAAACGGAGCGTTGATCTCGGCGAGATTCACGTGTTCGACTTGAACTAGAACGCTCTCAAATCACACTAGGATCACTCTTTATTGCTCCGTCAAGTTCGATGGATCGAAGAGTTTGATAAAAGCAATGAAAAGGTCTGTTCGCAGAAAAATCACAAACCAATCAGAGCAGTGTTGCCAATAGGTGCTTTCCAGTGACCCATTTGAGTTACTCCAGAGCAGCTCAGGAGTGCTCCACAATTGCTTTGCGCGTTCCAGTGCTTAGAGTGTCGTACACTTGGGCTACTCATTTCTGTTATCCCCTGCCCCCTCGTGCACCAACCCTTTTGTCTGTGTTTCATGCTTCTGAAATCCGAAATGGTGGGGGTTAAGACGAGAGCGTTCCAGTGCTGCTTATGTCGAACAGTTCAAGAGCGTCACACTTCAGGAGCATGATACTCTAACAATTTAGGCACTGGAAAGCAGCTAATGTGGTAAAATCGGATTACCCGAATTTTCAATTGAAATTACCCTAAATTACCCGATCTTTACTCGCGTTTGCTCTGGTGTTACCAGGGCTGGAACTCTATAACGGATAAATATCATTATCCCTCGCTATGGCACTTGCCGTCTTCTTCTCTCTTGTCTAAATCAATAGAGAGGAGACGTCAATAATAGAGATAGAGAAAATATATATATATACCTTGCGTTCGGTATTTTGCTCGAAGAGCAGAGCGTGCAGAGCGGAGCCGTAACCACGTGACCAGCGAGCGAACAGAGCAGATGAACGCTGTATAAAAGTGCCAGAAATTTTAATAAACGAACGCGAATGAGGATACACCGAGTACACTTTTTGAATAAACGAACGGTAAAGTCAAGCTCGAAGAACTCAGACCAAAATAACGAACGCACGGATATACAGAGTCCCAGCCCAGGTTTATGGGCGAGGAAAGAGCATGTTCCAAAACAGCGCTAAGCAAAAAAAAATTATTTTAGGGGTCCACGTATCTATCTAGGAGAAAAAAGGATAAAGATACACTCGTGCTTCGTGCCATGCCAAGCCAATCGATATTGGGTTTGTTCGGAGTTAGTTCAGAATCAGTTTAATTCAAGAATGATTCTGAACTAGTCGCCGGCCCGGATCTCGCCTTCTCTTTCCTTGATCTTCCTATTTTCTATCTTTCTTTATAGAAGGGAGAATCGGGGTCGACTAACACCGGAGCGAGTAGCTCGATTGTTCCAAGCTCTTGAAAGGAATACAACTATTGATTCCAAATGATATGCCCTCGTTTAGATTATAATCGCTCTCGGAGCACTCGACTCCTACACATCTGTGACGTCATCTCGCACGTGAAGCGCTCTGGAGCAGTTTTTTGTACAGTGACTCTTATGTTTTTTGGCGTATTGAAAGTGTTGAAACTACATAAGTTCATTGGCTGAAACGGGCTTTGCTGAAACCAATGAACTGTAGCTAAAAACTGGAATGCGCACACATTGCCATATCTGCCAAAAAAATGTAGCCATGAAAGACAGATGCCACAAAGGGGAATGTTGTTTTTTTCTGTTGCTCGCTGACATATGACGTTTTCGAAAGTTTTGTCATATTTCCCTTCACAGGTTTCATCGACTGGAATACGTGTTGGAAGCAATTTTCGCCATTTAACATAATGAGTGCGACAAAAACAGGTATCCCCTCCGCAGCAGCAGCACTAGGCTTCACGTTCGTCCTTATGTGTTAGCATTCCCGTTTTTGGTTATAGTTCATTGGCTGAAACTCATGAGTCATTGGCTATGTTCCGATATCAACTGTCAGTACTGAATTTAATGGACGCCGTTCCGATATTTTCAGTACACTGGATTCAGTCGATTCAGTACTAAATGACCACGTCCACAAGAGTACGCTGTTGTGTTGAAATCGGCATGGCAAATGACAGCAAAATCAGCACAGTAATTCCCAATTAGGCAATTCAAACCACGTGACACTCAAGATGGCGTGGCGGCCACACATGGGCCAAAAAACACAAAAAAATATCTAATTTCTGCCCGATTTAATAGTTTAGGTACCTAGTCAACAAATACTTTATTAAATAATCAAAATCAAAGTTGCAAGCAAAATATTTTAAAATACGCATAAAAACATATTCAAAACAGACTTGCTTGGCCGCCACGCCATATTGAATTTTCCTTTTTGACAGATGGATGGAATTGCCTAATGAACTATAGTCAAAAGCTGGAATGCGCACACATTGCCATATCTGCCAAAAAAATGTAGCCATGAAGGACAGATGCCACAAAGGGGAATTTTGTTTTTTTCTGTTGCTCGCTGACATATGACGTTTTCGAAAGTTTTGTCACATTTACCTTCACAGGTTCCATCAATTGGAATACGTGTTGGAAGCAATTTCCGCCATTTAACATAATGAGTGCGACAAAAACAGGTATCCCCTCCGCAGCAGCGGCACTATGCTTCACGTTCGTCATGTGTTTGCATTCCAGTTTTTGGTTATAGTTCATTGGTAAATCCAGTCCTGACAGTTGATATCGGAACATAGCCTTTAACCCTTTTCACGTGGCTCCGGTTTAACAAAACGCAACATACCGCTCAAATTCGAGTGGTATAGACTAAGGGCGGGTATTATAAAACTACTTTGAGAGTTAACTTAAAGTTAACTTCTGGAATTACATGTAATTCAAAAAGTTAACTTCAAGTTAACTGTCAAAGCAGTTTTATAATACCCGCCCTTAATCACGATAGAAAGTGAAGTTGACTTTTTTAGTAAACTTTTTCTTTAAGGTGGGTTCCGTTGTCTAACCTGGTTAACCGGTCGGTGATTCTTGGGTCGGTACAATGTCGGTTGACAGCGGTTGACAACGATTGACAGTGGTTACTGAAAAATTCGGTTTCATACGGAACGCTTTCTCAATCGCAGAATCGCCGCCGGTTGCTATGGTGACATGTTTGACATAACCAACCGCGTTCCGTATGGACCGGTTTTTCAGAAACCAGACATTACGGAACGTGTAACCGTAACCAAGGTTGGCAACGGAACCCACCCTTAAGTTGTCAGCATGCGTTAAGCAGGACGCGCACTGAATCGACTCGGACCGGTCGACTCGGCGAAGAGCATTCGGTAGTTTTTGATACTCATGCAATTAAATGAGACTCGAGTCGACCACGACGAGTCCGATACCGTGCGCGGAGTCTCATTTAATTGCATGAGTATCAAAAACTACCGAATGCTCTTCGCCGAGTCGACCGGTCCGAGTCGATTCAGTGCGCGTCCTGCTTTAGCGCTTCGATTCCGTCAGCTGGGATAAACGACAGGGTCGTATTTAGAAAAGTGATATACATTTCAGAATAAAAATTTATTTTCAATTTCTTGAAAGGAAGTTAATATTAAAATCCAAAAATCCTAAAATTAGAGTGAAAAGTAAACACTTATAAAAAGAGTAAACACTTAAATCCAAACTAAAACCAGGTTTGAAACGCAACACCGAAACACAAAGGCACAGAACACTACATAAAAAACCAAAAAACCGATTGTGATAATAACAAATAAAAAAATAATGCAGAAAACGGCAAAAAACTGAACGACTTCACACAAAAATTCGAAATTCAAAATTCAAAGACCCGAATCTGATATTTTTATGTGTCAAATCAAAATGTCATGTATCATTATTTGATAGTTGTCAGAAAAAGGGACAGATCTGGGGATTTTATTTATTTTCAACTGGTGAAAATAACGGTCAAAATTCAAACTCTATCGTGAATACGACTATAGGTATCCATCACGTCACAATACACACTCTAGGAGTGTTTATCGGCCTCGGTTTTGGTAATCGCCGCCATATTGGTTTTCAACTGTTTTCAACCATTGCCGACGTCATAACCAAGTCGTCAGCTGTTTAAACATCCTACGTCGAGGCGAGAAACACCATGCTGCTTAAGTCACGACTGGTTGTTTGGCGTGGGCGGGTTGGGGGGGATTTGTTACACACAGGCCTTATGAGGATAGGCCATCCTGAAGTAGTAGTGTGTATCATCCTTGGGTGGAAACGGCCATTAGTAACCGGGTTAGAAAACGGTATGTCATTTCTCTAACCGTTTTGTAACCCGGTTAGTTAAACCGGAGCCACGTGAAAAGAACTATTGCTTTAACTTAACCTAAGAAAAAATCTGTATGGAGAAGGAAGTGTTATGGTTTTTAATTTTTATAATTTAAATAGAATTTAAACTTTAAAAGACCCTATCTTTAGATTAACCTTGAGAGGTTTTCTTCATCTAGCTGAATCCCCAAAGGCACTCATTTGTCTAGTTGAATCCTTGCAAAACTAACCACATCAAGAGAATGGCCTTATTTATAAGAAATGCAAAAGGTAAAAACAATGCAAAATATTTCATTTAAATAATTACCAATTATTTATTTATGAACATACTTCTAGCTACATGTGAAACTGTAACACCGTTGATCCAGTTTAAAAGATTCCGAGGCAAAATCAATATCCAAAGACCCAGACCGCCTCATTTTGAAAAAGCAAAATATCTAGCTCTAACAAAACCATGGTACTTACCCAAAAACTTTGGCAAAACAAATGTGGAGCTATGCAGCAAATCGGAAACTCTACTATACAAAAAGCAAGAGGAGAGAAATATTTTTCAAGAAATCATTGCACAAGAACTAAATCGTTGGTTTACAACATCTAAGCTTATAGCGTTTTGTCATTACAATTCTATGTCCAAGGAACAAGAGTTTGACGCTTATTTACAGTTTAAAAATGCTAAAATGCATTTCAAACAATATGGAAAGAAGACCCTGGAGTTAGCTGTTAAAGGAACACCATACGAAACAGTGCTCGATTTTTACATTTCAAGAAATCTGACGATATTTAGTCCAGAACCTGAGATCAAGAAGTTGTTGAGGGTTTTAAAGAAATTTCCTCAACTTGTGTTAATGGGTAGGAAACAGCTGTTGTTGGTAGCACGGTATCCACTAATTCTATATTTTTAGCTGGTATATATGAAAACAGATTATTAAGCAAGGACGAACTGCTACATTACAGTACAATCCCCAACTTACAAATGGCACAAGCAGGTTTAGTGCAAACACTGAATAGTGCCAGTGTGCAGCTAGTCAGCAACCTAAATAGTCATCAAACAACACTGGTTTCACATTTAGAACAAAGAGTAAAACAATTAGGAGAGGAATAAAGTGTCAATTACTGTTTGTAAATAAAAAAAAAATATTCTTATTGTTTTGTTAATTGCAAACCAAAAATCCGATGGAGCTATTGTTTTATTCTATAATCGAATAGGGGAAAATCAAAAGAGTCTTAGTGCTTCTTTCACCAAATTTTAGATTTTACTTGTTTAGGGGTCTATATGCCGTATAAAACAGGTGTGTGAACCTGGCGCCCGACTTTGACGGATGCTAATAAAAATATGATTTTCTGGAGGTACAAACAAAGTAATTGATTGTACCGAAAATGATTTTGTTTGTACCTCTTTGGAAATGAGGTTAAAACACTTATTTATTCCGCGATCGGCGCTCGATTTCCGAAAAAAGAAAATTCAATGTTTTTCGAGAGGTACAAACGAAGTACTTTATGGTACCAAAAACTATTTTGATTGTACCTCTTCGGAAATTAGGAAAAAACACTTATTTATGCCGCGATCGGCGCTCGATTTCTGAAAAAATAAATTTCAATGTTTTTCGAGAGGTACAAACGAAGTACTTTATGGTACTACCAAAAACTATTTTGAGTGTACCTCTTTGGAAATGAGGTAAAAACACTTATTTATTCAGCGATCGGCGCTCGATTTCCAAAAAAAGAAAATTCAATGTTTTTCGAGAGGTACAAACGAAGTACTTTATGGTACCAAAAACTATTTTGATTGTACCTCTTCGGAAATTAGGAAAAAACACTACTTATTTATGCCGCGATCGGCGCTCAATTTCTGAAAAAATAAATTTAAATGTTTTTCGAGAGGTACAAACGAAGTACTTTATGGTATCAAAAACTATTTTGATTGTACCTCGTTGGAAATGAGGTAGAAACACTTATTTATTCAGCGATCGGCGCTCAAATTCCGAAAAAATAAAAATTCAATGTTTTTCGAGAGGTACAAACGAAGTACTTTATAGTACTAAAAACTACTTTGATTGTACCTCGTTGGAAATGAGGTAGAAATACCTACTTATAATGTTTATTCCGCGTTTGAATCAAACACTCACCTACGGCTCGTGTTTGAATTTTCATTCTCGTGAATCATTATTATATTATGCTTGTTGAAGAATATACTATTTACAACACAAATAAAAGTGTCATGCTGCGAATTGTTTTTAGTCCAAGCAATAAAGGAAGTTTACCTCAACATAATTAGAAGTTAACATTTTTTGGGGGGGATCGGTTCATTTTCATGTGCTTAATAACATATTAAGTTTGCGACCTTGTACTTCCATAGGGTTTTCAGTTAGGGGTGGTTTTTAGGGTTAATTTGCAGTTTATGGAGAACACTGCTCAAAAGGATGGTCCAATAGCAAAAAGTTTCAAATTAATGTTGTAGCTGAAGCTTTTTGCTATAAAAAACTCAGCGACAGCACCCCTCTATCTTCTATAGTTTTTTTTCTGCAGCGTCTTGAATAGCAGCATGTTTTTGTTCTAGGTCACTGAATCAACGTTTTGCCATTTTGCGCGCATTTGTTGCAGCAGCGGCCGAATGCATAATCCGATTTCAATTTTTCAAACACCACATTATTTCTAATGAAATGCACTCTCCAATGCTTTTTTGTTCGAATTTTTTGCTTGAAAATTAAGCGAGCACGGACTTGTCTAATGTGCGAGGAAGTTGTAAATTGCATCGAAAACTACCCCTTTCTTGCATTCACTCTAATTTCTAAACGGGGCCAAATATTTGGTGACAGTTTTCGACAATCGGCAGCCAATTTATTCCTCTTATAATGCCCCAGCGGATTTTTTTTTCGTTAATCACTTAATGACTTATTGGCCTGAAAACGTCGCGCGCGATTTTTCAAAAAGTAAAAAAAAATTAAAATTGTCGCATAGCGCTGAAATTTGGTACGATGGCTTTATTTATTGTTCTCATGATTATACTGCAATTTTATATCATGTGAAGCAATTGAAATTGCAGTATATTCGTAAGAACAATAAATAAGGCCATCGTACCAAATTTCTGCGCTATGCGACAATTTTAATTATTTTTTACTTTTTGAAAAATCCCGCGCGACGTTTTCAGGCCAATAAGTCATTAAGTGATTAACGAAAAAAAAAATCCGCTGGGGCATTATAAGAGGAATAAATTGGCTGCCGATTGTCGAAAACTGTCACCAAATATTTGGCCCCGTTTAGAAATTAGAGTGAATGCAAGAAAGGGGTAGTTTTCGATGCAATTTACAACTTCCTCGCACATTAGACAAGTCCGTGCTCGCTTAATTTTCAAGCAAAAAATTCGAACAAAAAAGCATTGGAGAGTGCATTTCATTAGAAATAATATGGTGTTTGAAAAATTGAAATCGGATTATGCATTCGGCCGCTGCTGCAACAAATGCGCGCAAAATGGCAAAACGTTGATTCAGTGACCTTGAACAAAAACATGCTACTATTCAAGAAGCTGCAGAAAAAAAACTATAGAAGATAGAGGGGTGCTGTCGCTGAGTTTTTTATAGCAAAAAACTTCAGCTACAACATTCATTTGAAACTTTTTACTATTGAACCATCCCTTTGTGCAGCGTTCTCCATAAACCGCAAATTACTCCTAAAAACCACCCCTAACTGAAAACCCTATGGAAGTACAAGGTCGCAAACTTAATATGTTTTTTAGCATATTAAAATGAACCGATTTCCCCAAAAAAATTTCAACTTCTAATTATGTTGAGGTAACCCCTCTTTTCAGATCTCCGTTTCTTGGACTATTTTTTAAAGCAAAATTTACATTTTCTGATCGCCAATCGGCTAAAATATTTCCAAATGTTTCTGGAAGGAAGACAATCGACAAAAAAAATGTGCCGAATGTAAAACAGAAAAAAAAAGTGTTTTTTTCTCATTTCCGAAGAGGTACAATCAAAATAGTTTTTGGTACCATAAAGTACTTCCGTTTGTACCTCTCGAAAAACATTGAATTTTTATTTTTTCGGAAATTGAGCGCCGATCGCTGAATAAATAAGTGTTTCTACCTCATTTCCAACGAGGTACAATCAAAATAGTTTTTGATACCATAAAGTACTTCGTTTGTACCTCTCGAAAAACATTGAAATTTATTTTTTCAGAAATTGAGCGCCGATCGCGGCATAAATAAGTAGTGTTTTTTCCTAATTTCCGAAGTGGTACAATCAAAATAGTTTTTGGTACCATAAAGTACTTCGTTTGTACCTCTCGAAAAACATTGAATTTTCTTTTTTCGAAAATCGAGCGCCGATCGCGGAATAAATAAGTGTTTTTTACCTCATTTCCAAAGAGGTACACTCAAAATAGTTTTTGGTAGTACCATAAAGTACTTCGTTTGTACCTCTCGAAAAACATTGAAATTTATTTTTTCAGAAATCGAGCGCCGATCGCGGCATAAATAAGTGTTTTTTCCTAATTTCCGAAGAGGTACAATCAAAATAGTTTTTGGTACCATAAAGTACTTTCGTTTGTACCTCTCGAAAAACATTTAATTTTCTTTTTTCGGAAATCGAGCGCCGATCGCGGAATAAATAAGTGTTTTTTACCTCATTTCCAAAGAGGTACACTCAAAATAGTTTTTGGTAGTACCATAAAGTACTTCGTTTGTACCTCTCGAAAAACATTGAAATTTATTTTTTCAGAAATCGAGCGCCGATCGCGGCATAAATAAGTGTTTTTTCCTAATTTCCGAAGAGGTACAATGAAAATAGTTTTTGGTACCATAAAGTACTTCGTTTGTACCTCTCGAAAAACTTTGAATTTTCTTTTTTCGGAAATCGAGCGCCGATCGCGGAATAAATAAGTGTTTTTACCTCATTTCCAAAGAGGTACACTCAAAATAGTTTTTGGTAGTACCATAAAGTACTTCGTTTGTACCTCTCGAAAAACATTGAAATTTATTTTTTCACAAATCGAGCGCCGATCGCGGCATAAATAAGTGTTTTTTCCTAATTTCCGAAGAGATACAATCAAAATAGTTTTTGGTACCATAAAGTACTTCGCTTGTACCTCTCGAAAAACATTTAAATTTATTTTTTCAGAAATCGAGCGCCGATCGCGGCATAAATAAGTGTTTTTTTTTCCTAATTTCCGAAGAGGTACAATCAAAATAGTTTTTGGTACCATAAAGTACTTCGTTTGTACCTCTCGAAAAACATTGAATTTTCTTTTTTCGGAAATCGAGCGCCGATCGCGGAATAAATAAGTGTTTTTACCTCATTTCCAAAGAGGTACACTCAAAATAGTTTTTGGTAGTACCATAAAGTACTTCGTTTGTACCTCTCGAAAAACATTGAAATTTATTTTTTCAGAAATCGAGCGCCTATCGCAGCATAAATAAGTGTTTTTTCCTAATTTCCGAAGAGGTACAATCAAAATAGTTTTTGGTACCATAAAGTACTTCGTTTGTACCTCTCGAAAAACATTTAAATTTATTTTTTCAGAAATCGAGCGCCGATCGCGGCATAAATAAGTGTTTTTTTCTCATTTCCGAAGGGTACAATCAAAATAGTTTTTCGAAAAACATTGAATTTTCTTTTTTCGGAAATCGAGCGCCGATCGCGGAATAAATAAGTGTTTTTACCTCATTTCCAAAGAGGTACAAACAAAATCATTTTCGGTACAATCAATTACTTTGTTTGTACCTCCAGAAAATCATATTTTTATTAGCACCCGTCAAAGTCGGGCGCCAGGTTCACACACCTGTATAAAACGGTATATGTGGTGCCATCCACTAAAATGTACTATAATTTTATTATATTTTGCGATCTCCAAATCTGCGCATGTTCCGAGCGCCAGTGCTTGTTGTGCGTTAAAAGGGTCTAAGTTCCAAATATTCAATATTGTAGGGTTTAGGACAAAAAAAATCAAAGACCTTTTCTTATTGAAAAATTCCAAGGCAGTAAAAGGTTTCTTTGGACATAGACCCATTTTACGTTTTTTTCTACTTGGCACTTAGGACCTTCTAGCAGTTCTAGCAGTAGTCATGTTTAAGTTAGTGTGGCACTGGCCTTATTAGGTACATGGCCTTAAGGCCGCGCAATGAATTATAGCTAAAAACTGGAATGCGCACACATTGCCATATCTGCCAAAAAAA